AATGCGCCTGGCAGAGATGTCCCAGATTGCTAAGGCGACTGGTGGGTCGGCATGCAGGTCAGAGATAACATTCTTATAATATATACAATATATAATATATAGTCAGGATTGGCGTGGCACGCGCTTGCGCACGCAGAAGTCGCCTCGCTTGTGCACGTGGAAAACTCCTCGCTTGTACACGCGCAAGTTGGAAGGATGAGAGGCCCCTTGAGGAGTGTGCGCCCGGGTGCACTCGAATGCCAGCATGACAATATGTCAGCAAAACAGCCTGACCAACTTCGTCGAAGTTGCCCCAGACGTTAAGCCGGGGAATCTGCTCCGGAATTGGCCCCAGAACCAGCTCTGGAACCCTTTCCCGAAACCTGCTAGGGAATCTGCTGCGGAACCTGCTCAGGAACCTGCTCCGGCACTTGCTCCGGACCACCTCCCCGGGAACCTGCTCCGGAACTAGCTCCCAGAACTTGCCTCTATTTCACATGCGTGTAGGGAGACGCTCTCCAAGGAAAAGCTTAAACCCGAGGGTAAGCTTTAGAGGAGGAAGGTGCCATTGCAACGGTGCATGCCTTTTGTGAGCCACCTGAGGGAAAATTTAGAGGAGGAAGGTGCAATTCCAACAGCGCATACCTTTTGTGAGCCACCCGAGAAAAATTTGGAGGAGGAAGGTGCCAGTCCAACGGTGCATACTTTTGTCATTGTGGGCCACACAAGTGGAAAATTCAGAGGAGAAAGTGCAGCAACATGTCTGCGCGTGTCTGCGTGCGCAAGTGAGGGCAATTTTGCGCGCGCAAGTGAGGATTTGGGCGTGGTCCCCTCGTACTTAAATAAGCGTGTTCGACTGTCGACCCCGCGCGAGCAAGTGAGGTGACTTTTCCGTGCGCCAGTGACACCCTAGCCGTCAGGTTTGGTCAGGTCTGTTTGTTCTTTGGGGCGTTAAACATTTGATGAAAGAAGTGCAGTGCAAAACTGACGTTGAAGAGTTCGGCTTGGATTGAAGTTCCCATCAAAGTGTTTTTCGATGTGCTGTGAGGATGGCAACGCGCAATGGATTTTCAAGTGTGATTTTCCATGATTTTTCAGACCATGTGCCACGCGTTCTTGGTTTGGAGGATCGTGACAATATATTTAGTAAGTGAAAGAGAACTTGATTCGGAACTTGGATGTCTCACTACATGCCACATGGATGTTTTTGTATTGGCCTCGTTGTTCGGAATATTGTGACCTTTATCATGACAACATTGGTTTGTAATGTACTGTAGCTGAAAATTATCAAGCAGAACATGTAATTTGGATTCAGGGCAGGATGAGTCGTGCCTGCCTTGCTGACCACAAGTGTGATTGATTAGTGGCAAGGTGTCAATGGGTTCCGAACGAGTGGCCATTGGGCTCGAGCACTTGAGTGCGACTGAACCTCCGTCGGAAAATGTTTCTGCCACTCATTTGGTGGCTTTGGTTTGCTGTGGCCCGGGCCCAAGTTACATGTGAAGGTGATGCCTGTGAAGCCGAAACAGCAGCACTCCTGCAACTCCAAAAAGGGCTTGAGAAGTGGCACTTTGGTGGCATCGTTCCCGGAGATTCTGACTACCAGCGTTTTTTGCCTGCAGTGCTGCAAATTTACGCGTGACTCCAGTGACCGGCACCGGAAATGTCCCGAATTGCAGTGGAGTTAAGAAAACTGGCGCAGTCATGTTTGCAACACATTATTCGTATGGCCGCCGCGTGTCATGTTAGGAACAACTCAACCCCTTTAGCCAATGGGCTGGACTTGGACCGAAAACAATGGCATAACTTTTTGTATGTTTGACAGTTTGGCCAAGAACCATCCCGGATCTCGATATTTTATAGACATGTAGTTTACATTCAAAAATAGATAATTGTGTTTCGCATTGTAACACCTGAGCATGACGCCTCAAGGCTTGGAGGGTGCGGCTATGCCAGAGATTCCTCTATTTGGCGGCAAACTGCCCGTAGAATTTGACGCTCGCGAAGCCTGGCCACACTGCAAGCACGTGGTAAATCACATTCGCGATCAGAGCAATTGCGGATCTTGCTGGGCAGTGGGAAGCGTTTCAACTTTCAACGATCGCCTTTGCATTCTCAAAGGTGACACCAAGACCATCCTCTCAGCTGATGACCCACTTGCGAATTGCAACAGCACGATCGAAGGCTCTTCGCTGCCCACCTGTGTGAAGCCAGTTCAAGGTGGTTGCTTTGGGGGCCAATTGGAATTTGTTTGGAAGTGGTATGTAGAAGCGGGCGCTGTGAGCGGAGCTGGATTTGTGAAGGCAGACAAGCATCCTGGGTCCACATGCGCACCATATCCCTTTCCTCCTTGTAATAGTCCAGCCTACGCAGGGCAGCCGGAATGCCAGACAAATTTCAAAACACCTGCTCCTTTCAGCCAATGTGACCATCCCTTCAAAACACCATATTTGCATAACAAAGTCAAAGCTACAAGTTGGTACAAAGTCCCACGGAAGAAGATCCAAGAGGAGATCATGGCACGAGGACCCGTCAGTTGCCAAGTGCTAGCTACTTGCTCCATGAAGGACTACACTGGTGGAGTGTACGTACCCTCGGGCCGAGTTTGCGGTGGCCACGTGATGCGCATTGTTGGGTGGGGAGTCGAAGCTGGAAAGGACTGATTGAATCGGTCTGAGTGATCGACGGAGCTTTAAGGTGTTTTGCAATAAATATAGTACTGTGTATATATAAAGCATTTGATGTCGAGATAGAGTCGAGTTCCCACCCACTGCGGCCTTAGTGATTAGTGCGGTCCCGCTGTCCATTGAATCCTCCTTGGGTTTTCTGCAACTGTAGATTCTCTTTCGGATGGTATTTGATACTAAGCCGTAGGAAGCCAACGAGAATCCAAAACGAGTCAACATGGGAAATCACCAGGAAAGTCTATCAAGGCCAAAGTTTATTGTTCATCAAAGCCCGCCCCTATGTATGTTAATCTGCAAGAAAGCTGCCTGAAGGACTATTGGTGGGTAGCGAATTCTTGGGGGCCTCATTGGGGGCTCGGCGGCTTTATCAAATGGATCCGTGGGTTTGACGCGCAAGGAATCGAGAGTGGCGTGGTTGCTGGCATCTGTTGATGTGAGTGATCTATGTCAACTGTTTCACAGAGTTGGAGGTATGCATATATTGCAGTTGATTCCATCATTGAAGCCAATTTGAAGAAGGCTTTGCAAAGTCGAGCCCTGGCCATCCTTGCTAAGTCGGCTGATGCGTGGTAAAACGATTTGACAGACAGGATCCCCCACAAACTAGACTACCATTTGCCCGTCCCAACCCATGTTTATTTGAAAACAAGTCTTGCCCAGAAAAATTGTGTGGGCTTTCACACACAATCAAAGCGAAGTTCAAAGCAATTATTCGCACATATTCGCACTGTGTGCCTTTTGTCATCATGTGTCTTTCAACCAACTGCTTTGACCACTGCTCAGGGTTTTGAGGGTCAGACAGGGTTCGGTCTCTCATTGGTTGCTACAGGAGCTAGAGGAGTTCAAAGCAGAAGTGGATCAACAGTTTGTAGCCAAAGTGAAGCATGAGGCAGAATTGTCTCAGCGTGCCAAGGCTGTCGCAAATGAGCGTTTTTGCCGGAAGTGCCAAAACGTTTACGGTGGTTTGAAGCCACACTGCTCAAAATTATGTAGAATCACGCCGCCATAAGTACTTATATTATACAAAAGGTGGCAACGATTCGGCTCAGAAATGCATTTTGATCCACAAAGTTGGCGCACTGCCCACCAATGTTTTTTTGGAAATGACTCGGAACTTTTTCGTTTCACCATAAACACATGATATCCCGATGTAGCCGACCGCTGGCGGCGAGGAGCTAGAAGACCGTATCGAGCAAATGCGCATTAAAGAAGCGCTGCAGCTGGCAGAGGTGTCACAAGTGTCCCAGGCTTGTGCATTTGCAGAATATGACCCTGTGAATACGGTGCAATTACATAAGAATTGTAAAGTCCGGCTCATTGCAAGTTCAGTATGTTCAGTCGGAGTTGAGTTACAGTAGAGTTCTTTTTGCGAAAGGAACGTGATGATGTCCGGAAGACAAATTGTCTCAATGGCGTTTAGCACAAGAAACCATGTTCTAATTGAACTTTGAACCAGGTGCCAGAACCCACGTTGTCAACATCAGGGTGTACAGATATTAATATTTGCCAACTAGTGTTCTTTCTTCTTTTGCTCTGTGAGTTTCTTCTTTGGTTTTGTTTTGGTTTTCTTTTGCTTGTTTTTCCTCTTGTTTTTTGTCCTCCTTCTGTTTCTTGCTCTTGGTATCCTTCTTCGACCTTTTCTTCTTATACCTGTACATGATCATCCATATTGCGTGTCCAGGAATTCACATGCGTGCACCACAGCTGGAAAACTATGCCGAAATTACGCTTGATGAGCTCGAAGAGCTTGAGCTGGAATCTTCATCAATTGCCTTGTAAAGGCGATCCATCGACTCTTTTGCAACACCATCTTCACAGGCATCCTCATCCAAGACCAAGAACTGGTTGAGCTCCCGCAAAGCACACCCTTTTAAGTACCCGAAACAAATGTAGAAGTAAGTCAAGCCGAGTATAGCCTCTAGGCAGCATATGTTTTACCTTGGTCCTTGATTGCAACTCGACTAGCGATTACTTCCACCGGAGCAGGTCTCAGTTCCACCTGTTGGGGTCAGTGGAACATTGAGCCGTATCAACACGTATCAACCTCTGATCAGGTTTCTGCACGCGACCAGAGCATTGCAGAACTAATCCGAACACTGTACTGTAATTACATTCTTGGGGAATAGAACCTACAATACCCTGCATGCAAGGTTTGGAACCATGAAAGCAGGGCAAAGGGTGTTTGTTGTTTGTGCGACTGTTGCCTATGATTTTTTGTTGCACCCTGCCCTTTGACATTCTCCCACACCAGCAGGAACTGAAGGACTGCAGGGCTGAAGCTAACATGCTGCAAGAGGCTGAAGCAGCGCAGCTGGCAGAGACCATGGAGCTGTACAAGGACGGCTCAGAATGACTTTACAAAGAAGCATAAGGATGCCATAGGATGCCTAGTTTCCCTTTGTTTCTCTAAAAACCTTAAACACTAGTTGAGCCGCTTTGCCCCGCATCGGTACTTAACTTCGCTGCTTTCGAGGTGCTTAGCCTTACTTAGCTAGTTAAAGTTACCATACCTACCAATCTCACCATACATACTGCAATACATAACCTAACCTACCCTCATTTATCCTCCACGCTTTGCTATTCAAGCTATTTTTGCATATTCTAGCTACTCACCATACCTCACGGTGTTTGTCCCTCCGGCACCAATGGGCTTGTCGGCCAGGAACGGGATCGCTATGTGGCCCAGATCGAACGCTTACGCGCGTTGCAAGATCAGGGCCGAGCTCAAATCTCTTCCCTGAGCAAGGCACCATCTTGAAGTTGGTGTTTAAACGCATGAATTGCTTCAGGGATCTTCAGGGTGACTGGGTTGACATTGGGGGCATAAGAGGAGGAAATAAGATGAAATAAAGCAGTTGATATGTCGGCTTGTTCTAATTGTTTGGATCGAAACAAAGCGGAGAGGCTTTGAGATTTCCTCACTTCTACTGATTTTTCCACTTTTCGGCCACAAAATTAAGTCACCAGCCGAATTTACCATGAACTCCTGTGATCAAAACAGTGCGTACTTGGAAGGGATAGATGAGCAGGCCTTTCCAGGCCTGTTCTAGCTCTCTTGACAAGAAATTCGGAGTCCTTGCATACCTTCCTTTGTTTTTTCACATGAGGCCAACTCACGTGGACATCAACAATTGGTTACGCTATAAACATGTTCCAGCTTTAATTGGATCCCAATGAGGAACGTGTGCATCGCTCCAAGAACCAGACGTTGCAGGCGTACAACCTCGTTTGACTATTCTGTAATATATATATATAGACATAGTTAGTTATATAAATTGAAATAAATAAATATGTGTGTATACACATTACATCCGAGTGTGAGATTTTGCGCAGTATGATGCCTGATTCCTGATTGGCAGGAGCTGGAAGGTTGCAGATTTGAAGCCGAAAGACTACGGTTTGAAGCGCACAGGCCAAAGATGCCTGTCCTGGCGAAGGTGGGCCTATAGAGCTCCAACATCTGCTGTTGAAACATGTGAACAACTTTTTTCAGAACATAGAGTGTCCAGCTTGCTTCTTGCAAGGCAGTGGGTATTCTTCACAATTTTGCACCATGTTGTCCTATGTGCTTCTTTCATTCTCCTACCATGAGATTTGAACCTCAAGCCTTGCACCTCGTTATCTTGCTCAAATTCCACTTCAACCGTTGTTGGTGCACACCGTATATAGTGACAAAATCTATCCCTGAGCTTGTGTCACGCATGCCCATGCCCACCTACTCAATGCCCTACCCAAACACATTGACGGTTTTCTTCTGCACGTGCACCTTTTGCACCTACACCCGACTTGCAGGTTTTCATGCTTGTGGGCTTCCAAGCGCTGAAGACATGTCAAGCCCGAGCCGCGGATCTTGTGAAGGCGCCGTTGGCCAATTGAAATGCTGGAGTCAGATTGGAACTGCGACAAATTTAATTTCTACTTTTGGTTCAACGGGAGAACCTCAAGGGCTCCAGGAAAGTTTCGAGCCTGCCTGGCGTGGCAGGAAATTGATCAGCTTAAAGTGGGGCAGAAGGCAGACAAGGATTGCTCGGCAAAGATAGCCAAGGACATCCAACAAAGCAGCTTGAGGGTGTCTAGCATGTACGTGACATGCCTGTGGTGTGGTTGTTTCTGAAGTCTATTTGCTTGATTGTATGTATCAATCCTTTGTTTTCTCCTTGGAAAGTAGAAAGGAACCAACAGAAACAAGATGGAGACCACTCAGTAAGCAAACTTGTGGTCCAATTGATTCCAGGTCGACCGTTCTTCAGCAAATCATGTAAGATCACTTGCATCACAAGCAGGAACGATGTGAAAGCGCAACTTTAATTCCGATAGAATGGTGGAGGATGCCATTTCACCTGCCTGGAAACTGACCTTCTTCACTCATACCATGGTTTTGAAATACTTGAGATGCCATGTCAAATCCTTGATGTTACTATACTATATCTTTTTGTAAAACGTCCATGCGCCACTTAAAGAAAGGCCTTTGGGGGTTGTTAAGCACAGCGCACCTCAAACAGCTATTTCCTTTTGATGTTTCTGAGGTTCTGTCAAGTTTAGCGCCCTGGCACTGACTGTGTTGTTTTTCTTGCAGGAGCGAGACGATTTCCGCGCTGAAGCGCAGAAGCTGCATGCAGAGGCTGATGAGCTTCGTGCAGTGCGCCTGGACAACGAGAATCGCCTTGCCGAGATGGCGTCTATGGTTCAGGACAGATGCTCGTTCTACAGTCTTTCCATGTTTTTTGTTGAGAGATGTTGAGAGTTCCAGAAGTGTCTTGAAGCCTGAAGTCAAAAAGTGGTAACCCCACAGCACGTTGCTTTGCTGTGTTTTTGTTGTCTAACTAATGCACTCTTGAGCGAGTTATGTTGATTTCACAACAACTTGCAAACCGATTTCTTGTCTTTGCTGCTTGGCTTCATTTGTGAAGCATCTGTGATGCCAGTATGTGTTGGAAGCCAGGTGGGGAGAAGGTTTCGAGTTGTTATCCGGTGAATGAAAACGCTACTGCAATG